ATTCATATACACAAAATGGGTTTCGTAATGATTTTCGTTTCCTTTCCTTTTTATGCTATATACAGGGCCGATCCTGGCGACGGGCGAAAATTGGGGGAAATCCCCCCCTCGTCGTCGTCAAATTTGGGACATGAGACCGCACAGAGCGGCCGCCTACCCAGGATCGGCCCTGTCTATATAATTATATATATATGGAGAAAATATTATTTTAATTGTTAAATTTATATCGGCGAAACATTTTAGGACCCACAAGTAAACTCGAAAGACTACATGTATATTAATCTTTACCATAATATTTTAGGAATATAATTTGCAGAAACTGGCAGTGAATTCATTTTATGCAATAGAGGTAGGTAAATAAAAAGTAAAGTGAAAATCGTTTATTACAATTTGGAGGCTAACTACAGTAAGTGATCAACATTGATACATTTACTATTACATATTTTTGCCGTTCTTTTCCGTCATTACAGATGTACCAACCGTTTTCTCATGGACATTTTTCGATCGACACTTTTAAAAATTATTGCGTCAGGACATTTATGTTAATGCATTAGAAAATGTGATTTTTCCTTGTTTGTAATCTGTCGCGTGTATAGCGGAACAATTATTATTATGCCAATCTTTTATCGATTTGGACTATAAATTAATCTGTCCTATGCTAAAAGTGACATTCATCATAGCCCAACCCTAGCAAAGAGTTTAATGTACAATAATAAGAAAGCACCTGCAGTAGTAGGTAACAACTAGTACGTTCTGTTTGCATTTTACATCTATTTCTACACAAGTGCACTTAGTAGAGTTATTGTTATAAACTAATAATTGAAGAAAATTAAAAAAAAAAAATGAAGGAAAATGGTAATCCCGCAGAAGAAAAATTGTCATGCTGTCTCATAATCTGGGCATCACTGATTCACAATGGAATAATTACAATGCTACCACAGCAAAAATTCCAATGCTTTCTAGTAAAGTTTATAAGGTTCCCTTACAAAAATTATTGGTCTTATATTAAATTTTATCAATATTTGTTGTTTGCACTTACTATATAGTGACAAGCACGGTAACTTTTCTAACATTTTTCTCTCTATGTTCATAAAAGTAGAATTTAAAGCTGGTAATGGTCACAACAAAGACCGATGTAGATCTATATTTTAGATTAGATCAGTCTGATGATCGGTACATCACGTGCATAATACTTACTAGGATCTAGTTGTAGGAGTGACCGGGACCACAATTAAAAAACATTGTATTATTGGTTGTACCTTTGAAATGATTTAATATTTAGACTTAATTTTTATGCTGCATGATGCTTTAACTATTTAGGTATCATATTATTAACAGAAATCAAACATAAAATAAACGATGTTTGAAATAGACCATTATTTCTATCATTACACATTAT